TCTGCGGATATTCCGAGTTTTAGTTTCATAGATAAAGGATGGCATGCATCGTGCGTGCTAGTTTTTCAGAGATGAGCGAGACGTCCCGAGTTATAACATCTCATGCATGCAAGTTTAGCGTTTACGATCCGTACGCAAACAATCGTATGTAAATTACCAACACACTGCCACCTTTCGTGCGAATAAATTATGCCAAACGTTGTCAAACGTTTGCCCAATAAGAGCTCGCTATTCTACGGTTGAGAACGGATTGAGCCCTGTCAGCCAATAGGGAACTGTGTAGTTTTGACGATTGTTTGTAATTCGTTCAGTAATATAATGAGGCTTTAGGTTCGTTTACGTGCTTCGGTGGAGGTCGGGAATCTTCGAGTTAAGCCCTTCGAGTTAAGCCCCTCGAGTTAAGCCCTTTTCGAGTTAAGCCCCGACCACGCCCTGTTTTGCCATGACCACACCCTTTTTCCAAAAGGGCTTAACTCGAAGAACGAAACACGATTTGGGTCATTCGAGTTAAGCCCCGGGGCTTAACTCGAGTTAAGTTGTTGCTCGAGTTAAGCCCCGACTTTTGAAGTATGTCAACGAGTGCAATATTAAATTGTCAAATTTTCAATACGAAAAAGCCAAAGGCAAAGCACAGAAATTTCCCAAAAAGAACTTGTATATGTAATACGAATATCTAAAACAATCACAACTATTATCGTTAACAATATTTTAGGTTTTTCATATTTAAATTGATATTAAATTTAACAACACTCAACAGGTAATTACTTTTAGTGGATCGTTTATCCACAACAAAACAACAAAACAATATTTTAATTATAATGTAGATAGAATTCTAACTCGTTCCTTTTGTTTGAATGTGCACAATATCGACAAATTAACAGTTTTACTGTAACAAAAAAGGTACAACCATTCCCATCACCTTGAACAAAACTAATCTATTAAGAAAATGATCGAAAATGACAGCACGTAATAACTAAAGAAAAAGAGAGGAAAGGGAAGGAATTTCGGTATAGAATGATCTGTCTTTGACAACTTGCGCCCAGAGACTCACGCCTCATACGCACATGTACAGTAATTTTATTAGCCAAATGAATGGTTATGAATCACGAATGGTTTTATTTGTGTACAAATTATCACGGGGAGAAATTGTCACATTTGAGTAAAATACCCAAATGTAACAATTTATCCCCGTAATAATGGCGCTACGCCATCATTTCGTTTATAAAATTACTAATCGCTCAGCAAATATTCCCTTTTTAATAATACAAGTCAACGTAGCGCCATTATTAGGGGGATAAATTGTTACATTTGGGTATCTTAATCAAATGTAACAATTTTTCCCCGTGATAACTTGTTTACACCAATTGAAACAATTCGTGATTCGTAACCATTTGGCAAATAAAATTACTGTACATGTGCGTATGCGTATGAGGCGCGAGTCTCTGGGCGCAAGTTGTCAAAGACAGATCATTCTATACCGAAATTCCTTCCCTTCCTCCCTTTTTCTTTAGTTTTTACGTGCTGTCATTTTCGATCATTTTCTTAATAGATTAGTTTTGTTCAAGGTGATGGGAGAAGGTTGCACCTTTTCTGTTACCGTAAAACTGTTAATTTGTCGATATTGTGCACATTGAAGCAAAAGGAACGAGTTAGGATTCTATCTACTTTATAATTAAAATATTGTTTTGTTGTTTTTTTGTGGATAAACGATTCACTAAAAGTAATTACCTGTTGTTAAATTTAATATTAATTTAATATGAAAAACCTAAAATATACCTAAAATACGATAATAGTTGTGTTTGTTTTTTTAATAATCGTATTACATTAGCGATATATAAGTTCTTTTGGGAAAAGTTTCTGTGCTTTGGCTTTTTTGTATTGAAAATTTGACAATTTAATATTGCACTCGTTGACATACTTCAAAAGTCGGGGCTTAACTCGAGCAACAACTTTTTCGTCAAACTCCGAGTTAAGCCCCAGGGCTTAACTCGAATAACCCAAATCGTGTTTCGTTCTTCGAGTTAAGCCCTTTTTGAAAAAGGGCGTGGTCTTGGCAAAACAGGGCGTGGTCGGGGCTTAACTCGAAAAGGGCTTAACTCGAGGGGCTTAACTCGAAGGGCTTAACTCGAAGATTCCTGACCTCGCTTCGGTGCATGCTTCGGTGCATAACTTAAGGTTACAGGACACCCTTTTGCGCGCTCAATATCAGTCCGATTTTCATCAAATTTTCACCAAATGTTCTCCAGTGCATGCAAAATATGGTAAAGTTGTAAAATTAACAAACAATAAAATAATGTAAGAATTATTCAGGAAAATCTTAAATCGCGGTACCGTTACGCTTTTGAGTTGTGCTCCTGCTGGTTTTAAGTTATATTTATGAAAATATCATTTTTATACAGTAAAATAGTTGTTCTAAAAATTGTGTTCGGAAATTTTTGTTTTTTCGTTATTCCACTGATATGACGATTTCTTTGACGACTGCAATATATTTCTGAATTGTTTGAGTGAATTGCTCTTTATTTCTAAAATATCCAAAATTTAAAAAAAGACTAACAGAATTTTGAAACTGACGTCTTTAGCTATGTCCTGTGAAAATTTGAGAAAAATCGATGACGTCACAAGCAGGATAAATTTGTTAAAACTTCTCCATGTGGGACTAAATTTCTTTGAAAAGTTTCTTAATTAAAATGTTGCGAGTTAATTGAGTACTCAAAAGACTTCGGAAAATCGAGTTTCATATTGATAATGACATGTGGTTTGCAAGATAAAAATTTCGCTTTTTACCCTACTTGTGACGTATGCATATCGAAAATCCAAGATGGCTGGATGCACGCATCTTTTGATAAAAATAAGTCGATTTATTTCGAAAACCAAGCAAGATACGGAATAATATTAAAGGAAGTTTATATATAATTTTCAATGTTCTTTCAAATAAGACAAACTAAATTTAATTATATTGAAATATCCCTTTAATTTTACTGATATTGGTCCGAAAAAATGTGTTTTAGACGTGATTCAACAGGTATTTGTCGGGAAAACTTTTTGAATCTTAATTCTAGTGGTGTTTGTCCAGAAAATGTTTTTTTGAATCTTTTGTCTTTAATTATACAAGACTATTTGATAAGTGATATAACAAACATGTCCGCCAAAATGACTGTCACGTATTTTGAGCTTCTCCAAATTTATTGTCTTTTTTATCCTATATCTATCTTTCTGGTTTCATCATCTTTTTTTTACGTACCTGATACTCATAAAGATGTCAAAAAAGTTCTCCCTGCCAAAATCAAAGTATTTAAGCCAGGGCGATATAGTCATATATTCGTGTTCACATACCGTAAAAACAGTCGCTTTCAAAAGAAATCCGTCGGGCAGAACACGAATATATAAATATGCACACCCCCCCAAAAAAAAATTATCGTGTCTAGGTGCGGCCCTGATTTAAGCTACCTGGTGTTTGGTTGTCAACTACAGTATAAACGTTACACTCAGAAGTGCCATTTGGTCAAATCTTTTCATCGCCATATTCTCAAGTGCATAGTCGACAAAATAAGTCCTCCCCTAAATACATCAGAATAATTTATAAAAAAATGAATCACGGTTAATAATCAAACCGAGAACTAATTAGACCTAAGGCAATTTGCTTAATGGTATGTGAAGAATGGGGACACACACGCTTGGAAGAATGATTAATCTCCATTGAATACAAAAATACCCGATTGCAAAATTATGTTGAATGTGCTAGTATTACCCGTCTCATTCACCATTCATTGGTAAACACAAAATCGTACCGAAATCGGGTAAAGCAGTTCAATTAAATCATGAGCAGAATATCGATCAAAAACAGGGCAATAGCTATTGGGATTTTAAAGGCTGGTACGCCTGTTAAACAGGTAGCAACGATGGATAGATGTAAGCCCGAATGCTATAAAGAAACTGAGGCAAGAAGCTAAGAACGGTAGTGAGTCGGTAATCTTTGTGCCGGCCACGCCAGGGTCACAGTTGCAGAAAGAGTACCAACGGGAGGTCCGTAGTTAACGGTCCAAAGTTATAGTGGTTGAGATAGCTGGTGAGACCAACAACCTCTCCCCCTCCCCCCGGACGAGTACGTTGCAAATGCTTTCCAGTGACTTTACCTAAATTTTTCATACCAAATTTCGGTAATTTGCCCCAAACCCCAAATATCTTGCCCTTTGCGCGGAAATATTTAACCCAAAAAAATGACTGGGGCCCAAGAAAAAATTTCTAGGGGGCCCCAGAACCTAGGGGCCCGGGGCAATCCCCCCCCCGGTCTCGGCGGCCTTGGTAAAAAGGATGAACGATCAGCATTGTGGAGACATTTGTAAGAAGGAACATGGGGCTGAGCTTCGGGATTTCCACAGGAGTGTTACAGGGTTTTTTCCAAGGATGCTATGCTAATACAAATTAGTGAAGGCGTAAGAATAGACAGGACACCAGCTCAATTGTTGATTAATTCTAAAACTGAATGGAACTCGTTTCGTATTCCTAATCCAACCTTCTGATTGAATGAGTGTTTTCACGGTGCTTACATGAAGTAATTCGGTATAAAGGAACTCGTTGGGACAGAAGAGTACAGGAACTCGTTGAGTCAGAAGAGTACATGGAGTACTAACTTCTTTTTTTAATATGGCGTCAAACTGAAGAGCTGAAGAGGCTGAGAGTCAGCGAAATATATATTTTAATATGCCATACTTTGAGTCTTTTAGTTTTTTAATTAGGTTTTGACAAATTTTTACAATTAACAATTAGGTTTTATTTAGTGTATGTCGAAAGAGAGAAATTAGATGATATGTCATATACAAACTGTTTAAAATTGTTTAAAACTCTTTTCTTGCTTCGGCGAACAAAATTATCGAGAAACAACAAAACATCGCTTACACAGATAAACGGAAACATGTTGCTGAAATTGTGCGCCCACATGTTGTACCACATGCCGCTGCCATTGGTGGTGGTTTCATCCTTATGGACGATAACGCCCGCCCTCACAGGGGAGAGTCGTCACTGAGTTCTCGACTGGTGCGGCTTAACTGGAGCGAATGGTGTGCCCTGCGAACTCGCCTGAACTCAGACCAATTGAGCATATTTGCGACCAGCTCAAGCTCGCTGTCAATCGCCAAATTACAGCATACAGTACTCTGGCAGACTCGGCTCAATTGTTGCAGGAAGAATGGATGGCTATACTTCAACGGTGGGTGAGCAGACCCATCAACACCATGAAGCAACGTTGCCTGGAGTTGATTGAGAAGAGTGGTGGTTACACTAATTATTAAATCATTGATTAAACATTACCGTTGTGTTGCAAATAGGTATATCTGTATTCAATGGAGTCATTCTTTCGAGCGAGTGTGATATTCTTCGCACACCATTAAAGCAAACTGCCATAGGTCTAGTTAGTTCTATATGTTTGATTAACAGCGTCACAGCGACTCAGTTGTTTATAACTTATTCTGATGCATTTAGGGGGGGGGGGGATTTCTTTTTGTGCGATGTTTATAAGGAAACCACCAATACAAGCTCGAGCATTCCTATTTGTCTCCCATCACATCTCTAATCAAATCAATTTTCCTCAACCTTCCATCGTTTACTCCCGGAAACGATTTATTTGCCTCTGCCAAGACTACAACAAATGGGTTCGATCAACAATAACGCTATCGTTTAAAAAGACTTAATCTTTTCAAGTTTAGAGGAAAATAAGCAAGTCGTCAATCGAACAGACAAATATGTTCACCTTCAACAAAACTTAATTCAGCAACCTAATTGACTAGCATACATTCACAAAAAACATCACTAATCTCAACCGACGAACTGTTGTTTTAGCTGATTCTAATCGTCGACGTCGATCAACTTCGTCAGTTTTAATGGCGCTACACATCGTTTTCTCACCATTATTCAACGTGAATAAAACATTCACTTCATTCAACTCAAAAGTTGTTTATTACCGACGCAAAACCTCAACGTACAGTATGTGAAAAAACTCGGCTAAGCGCTAGCCTACGTTTTTCAACACATTTATATTATACGCCAGTAAAAACTCTTTCTCGTTTATTACGGTTATTTTTTGAAAAACGCTGGGAACGAGTTTATAATAGGTCATTACCACTGATATTTACATAGCTTATAGCAAATTCGCGTTTTAAATTAAGATCGGATTTTTTTTGTCACAAGGCAGAAGATGGCTGCTGTTTTATTGTCTTTAAATTCTCAAAAGATTGTTTGCAATCCACCTATTAAGAGCTTCTCACATATAACGTCATGAAATTACATGTACATGTAGTTTCTAGCTCTTGTTACTTTCGTGCGGATAAAATCATCGATGGATGCAAAAAGTTGTTAGAAATCCCCGATTTCATCATCAAAACAAAATCTCTCGCTCTACAATCACCAACCTCGTTTGATTGCAAAGTGACCACTCCAACCGTCATGCACAGCGGGCATCGCTATAAAGCAAGTGGCCCATTAACAAAAAACTACATTGCTCTCAGCCAATTAGAATTGAGTAAGTTTTCATCTGCATAATATATTTTAAAGCAGCATATTACAAGCCTCGATCAATATTAATATATCTTTTTGACGATGTAGTTGATTTTGCCTGTGATTAATTGTTATTATAAACAGTGGATAACTTTATGGAACTTCTTTACCTTACAATGTCGTTTCCCTGCCATTTGAGATAATTTTGCCGCAGCTTAGTACACTTGTTGGCCATCGAAAACTTAATTTTTAAGTAGAGATAAAAATTCCATGTACCCATTCAGCTTTTCCACTTTGGCTCACTTATATTAGCCATCGAGAAACCTATTTTTAAAAAGAGACAAAAAATCTATATAGCTCTTCAACTTGTCCAGAATTTCCTCAGGCGTCCAGTTACGTTCAGGCGAAAAGAGTGCTTCAGACCACGAGTCCATTGCAACCTTTATACCAAACTAAAACAAAGAAATCTCATTTTATAATTAGAATAATTAAGTACGTGCATGATGAATTATTTGTTCATCTGGGAGTTCATCTTGAAGTTAACTTATCTTGGTAATGCCTTGCAATTCTTGGATTGGCATGTGGTTAACTTGAGAAAAGGTATTAGGATAGCCAATGAAGATCTGGCATTCAAAAAGATATAAATTAAATACCGAGGTGTAATTTTCTGCCTGCCAAATGAGCTAGCAAGTGCGTAATCTCATTCTAAATTTATTGCTATGCTGCACGCTATTTTTCCCGTTGATTATTTTGTAAAAAAAAATATTTTGCTTTATGATCACTTAAAATAAAAGATACTATAGTTTAATTGCAAGGACATGTGTAAAACCATAAATGTCGATAGCTCACGCATGAGTCGCTCTCTTGCCAAAAATTACCTTTATTATTATTCCTATTGTAATGTATATTAGTTTTTGGTGTATTTTCTGTTGTTTTCAAAGCCCACATTGGTACGATCAGTTCTGTTGCAAATATTATTTACAATTTAGAAAACCAACATATTGCAGAAGGCGATAATTATGCTGATTACTGTATATATACTAACGGCCGAAAAAGTACCACAGTACATTAGAACTGAACCGCAACAAGTCATGTGCCCGGTTGATAAGATATTTACTAGATAAGATATTTATTTCTACGAGCTTTTGGCTATCAGTCTATAGCCTTCGACGGGTATATATACAAATGATTCTATAAAGGACGCTAAACTTAAATAGGTGGTATGAAATATGAGACTATCTATGCTATGTTACAAAGGAGGAATATAAATATTAAATTAATAAATAAATATTTAGAGTTATTATCAGCTTCGTCTGTTAGTGCAGTGTGCCAGGACTCTAAGGTTTTAAGATTCCTATGATTTCCCTTTTCTATTACTTTAGCAATGGCAAAGTCAATGATATGATCTTGAGTTCATGCGTGTTTCGCGACATTCGACCCCATCTTGCCTTGTTTCACATTCCTTACGTGTTCGGACTTTCTCGTCTTCAGGGATCTTCCCGTTTCGCCTATGTAGCTCCAAATGCAATCTTGACACGGTATCTGGTGGACCACGTTCTTTTTTTCTTCTGTTGGTGGTTTCTGTTTTGCAGATGGGAATTGGCGTTCGAGGGTTTTCATTGGCTTATTATAAACTTTAATGTCATGTTTTTGGAGTGTTCTGGCTAGAGGTTTTGTTAGTCCTTTGATATATGGTAGAAACGCAATTCCTGCAGATGACGCCTTTCCTTCAACCAGTTCGAAAAATGACCGCACTAACTCTTCAGGACTTGCTACAGTTTTGTTCTTATGTTTTTTGATCAATCCTGAAATTAATTTCTTCGGATAACTATTTGATGTATTTATTAATGATTTAGTTCTCTTTCTTTGCTTTCGTCAGTGGTAGGAAGTGACAAGGATCAGTTGATAAGTGTTGTTGCAATACTAATTTTATGCTTTTGGTCGTGGTGTGATAGGTAGTTTAAGTAACGGTCTGTGTGAGTGGGTTTGCGGTAAACGTCAATAAAAATTAAGCCGTCGTTTCTAGAAAATAATGTGTCAAGGAAAGCGATCTTTCCGTCCTTTTCGTTTTCGATGGTGAAGTCAATGTGTGGGTCAATGGAGTTTAGTGTGTCATGAAAAGATGATATGTTAGTCTTTTTTATTATGGAAAAACAATCGTCTACAAAACGTTTCCAAACTTTAGGTGGCGAAGTTGCGTCTCGGATGGCCTGTTCTTCTATCACTTTCATGTACAAGTTAGCAACAATCGCGCTAACGGGGCTGCCCATGGCACATCCATGGATTTGTTTGTAGGTGGTGTTGTTATAAACGAAGAAACTGTTAGATAAAACAAAAGAAAAAAATCGAATAATGTCGTCAGTGTCAAGTCGAGTTCTGTCAGGAAGTGTCGGATCGTTTTCTAATTTCGTTCTAATATATTTGCACGCTTTATCAACAAGAATGGCTGTAAAAAGTGAAACGACGTCAAATAAAATCATAGATTCGTCTTCGTCTATGGTAATGTTGGAAATTTCGTTTTTGAATTGAGTAGAGTTAGCTACTGAGAAGCCGTTTTTGTTTTGTAGTGGAGAAAGGATTTTTGTAAGGAATTTGGAAGTTTCGTAAAGAGCCACGATGGTCGGTTGCTATGCGTTTTGCTCCCGGAAGCGCGGGCTTCGTTTTTTCCAGCGGTGTTGGTGTGAAGGCGAAATGGCGTCGTGTTATTTTATGATCGGAAAGGTCATGTATTTGGCCGGCTTGAAATTTCTTACTGTTAGAACAATTTTTTGGGTTTATTTTAACTGGTTTATGTACTTCAATATTTAAAAGGAACTATTGTGATAATTTTATTTAGCGGTCAAATAACAATCGGATCTATTACTTAGGGACTGCCGTCGAATAGCTCTAGACGATATATCAAATTCGCCTCCTGTATAATAGTTCAAATCTTTCATATTACGGAACGCAAACCAGTGTACAAACTGTTCCTCTTTTCGCCTAAATTCGTGTTTCTTCAGCAGTATGTGTAGGTAATTTGTGGAAAATTATCTGATGCTACTTAGTACTAATACAGTTTTTTTAGGTTTAGATGTAGGTAATGAGAACCATATTGGTGTCCTAGTAATAATTTTATGCCACAACAGTCCCTAAATGTTAGATGAAAAAATGTAGTGTGAAATATGATAGGGTAATGGCCTGGTGTTGTTGGCACAATCACAATGTATGCCTGTGAAAAAATGTTGTATTTGAAAAACCTGAGGATAAAAGATAAAAAACCACTTGTATTTGTATAAATGTGAACCTAAGAAATATAAGTGTAGGTTATAGACTTGTGGAACATAAAATTGAAGATGTATGTGTGAAATTGTAAGAGTAAAATATATCCTGTTGTGTAAAAAAATGATCAGACCCAAAAAGTATGATCGCGCTGTACTAAAAAGCTTGTATAGAGGCATGTAAAATATATAAAGCGAGATGAGAAAGTCATGTGTGTAAATTTCAGTATCCCTGTACGCGGCGTTTCGTCCTTCATGGACTCGTCAGCAGGGATTGGGGTTGGCACATGTATAAGAAGGAAGAATACAGAAACCGATTTGGATTACAGAGTGAATAAACATAAAAATAGTAAAATATGTGTATGATTATTGTGAAATAAATGTAAAGTATAAAGTGTCTTACCAAATTCGCTGATATTTTTTGTCAAACCAACACGTTGGGCCATGATTGTAATCACGAATGGATGTGGTAAAACTATAGCGTTTATATAGAGCGTCTGTATGCAGCTGTATAAATTGCGTGTTTGGTCATACGCAGTGAGTGAGTAAGGTGAAGAGTACATATGGGCGTTTAGGTTGTTGTATGGATTGTAGGGGTGTTGAAGGATCATTTTGGAAATTGTGTATATACTGGGTTGTATCTGTTTACTTCATGTAATAATAGTGTTTGTGAACTTGTTATTTTATGTTGAGAGATTTATTTTAAGTGTTGTTGTGCAATGGTGTTTTGAGATATTTTTTTGAGACTTGGGGTAAAAAATGGTTGAGCCGTGAGAGGGGGGTGGGTAATGAACTGAGATAACGTACTGTACTTGAGTGTTTGTTTTATTGTTTATGGATCGGATGTGTGTTAATAGCTGTAATGTACGGCGGGCTTGTGTGGTTGGCCATTGTGCAATGCATTTACTTAGTATTACTGCTGTATTGAGTTGCAAAGATCGGTCTGTTAGTTGCTTTATTTGCATTTTCTGTTTTGTTAAGTAGGTCATTTTGTGTGTACAGTAGTGCTCTGTTAAAGGATGTCGGATAATGTTGTCATGTTTGTGCATCAAGGCAATAAGTACGTTGTCCAGTCTTTGTTGTAGTTTCTTACTGTTAGTGGTGATGCGTATATATCGTATTGCTTGGCTGTAGATAACAGAGTTTTTGCATGTTTGGGGGTAGGAGGAATATTGATTCAGGAGTAGAGTTCTACCAGTTGGTTTGATGTATACGTCTGATTTGAGTCGGTTGTTGGAATTAATGTAAATAGTTGTGTCAACGAAGTTGACTGATTTTTATGAGCATGAGTATAGTCAAATTTAATTGTGGGATGGAAGTTGTTAATGTATGATAAGCATTTCTGGAGTTTTTCAATGTCATGGGTCCAAATTGCAAATGTGTCATCTATGAATCTTATCCATTTAATTGGTATAAGACCCTGTGGTACTTCGTTGAGAAGCTTCCATTCCAATATTGCCATGAATATGTTTGCAAAGGTGGGTGCCATATATAGATGATCTCATAGTGGTACCATGATTTTGTAGAAAGTGTTCATTGTTAATTGCAAAGGAGTTTTTATTAAGTATGAGAGATAAAATCTCAAGAACTGATTATTTAAGTTCAGGAGTTATTATATTGCTTTCATTCAACATATCTACACAGGCTTGGATGCCATGATCATTAGGTATGTTGGTATAGAGGCTCTTAACTTCAAATATGATAAGTATGAAGTTGTCATATATGGTAAGCCTTGATTTATTGAGAAAATTCTGCGGAGGAAATCTGTTGTGTCTTGTACATATGATAGTATATGTTTTAGGAGTGCTTTGCATGAGGAGGTGGTCAGCATATTGAGAGAGCTTGACAGTCGGTCCTCCGCAGCCTGCAATTATTGGTCTTCCTGGAGTGTCCTGTTTGTGAATTGTTTGGTAAAGGATCGCGATGTGTTCTTGCTTGTGTATCTATTGTGAGAAATTTGTGTGTTGTACTGTCAGTTACTGTACGTCTGATATGTGGAGTTTATTGGCAAGTCTTTTAGGTTCTGCTAGTGTCTCTAGTGTCTCTGTTTCTGTCTAGGGGTTAGGTCATTTGTAAGTTTTTGGTAATGATTTGAGTAATTTAATTGTCTTTATGCCTCAGCTAGATAGGTATCTTTTGGCCAGATTACAATGGCCCCTCCCTTGTCTGCTGGCTTAACCATCAAATCATTATCAGT